CGTTTAACGCGCGATAAGACACGACGCTTAGACGCTGCGGTCGCGCGAACAACGGGCGAGCGCGCGCGTATGCGCCGCTTTATATTCCACACGTGACATCCTTACGCGCACTTTTCTTACGTCGCGCCGTATAAATTCCGATTGTGCCTCACTCGATACGCAAGCCCAGCATCGAACGGAACGCTTCCTGCACTTTGCCCGGGAGGGAAATATCACACCGACGCTAACGAGCGTCATATGCGAGGATTGATCCTCTCCAGTTTTCAATGAAAATAATGAGCGTGAGGAGAGAGCATCATCCCCGGGAAAGATTTCATAAATCGTCGTCTTAACCGCCTGCTAAGAACTAATCGGTGTCACGTGCAAACCGCTCGCGCACGAATTGCGTTAATCCCATACGGGAAAGGCTCTTCCTTGCATATGGGAAAACGACAGTACCATACCACGTTTATTCCCATAAACAGATTTTTCCCAGCTGTTACTTATGGAACGGAAAGCCACCGCTCGTCCCGTCCCTCCGCACCGAAAAGCCGCTAACTGACAACTGCAGATTATCAATAAAATATCAATTCAGATTTGCGAGACGTGTGTAACATCTTGTGGACTCCAGACATTTATCGCGTTTTAATAAATAATATTATTCGCTCTGCGGATCCGAAATAAAAATTCTGCGCGCGGGGTTTTGTAGGCACGCAGCCCCAGTTTGCATAATGTATTATATTATAAATTCGGGCCTCCGTTTTAATCGTACGGTTGGTTCAAGGGACTCTCAGGTTTGGGTGCAGACTAGATCTAGGTCGAATCCTACTGAACCCTCCGATCCCTTAGGCATAATCAGTGCAGCCCCCGGCATGAAAAGCTTTTTATCGCGGTTGCTTCCTAAATTATAATTTACGTATGCGCATATAAATTACAGTTAGGTACGCTCTAGTTTAACATTCAACCCAATCACCATTTTGCGTAGCAACTACAGTTCCTTTTTTTTTTTAAATTATTTTATACAGTTTGTCAGTTAACACAAAACTTAATTCTTAGGCGTTTCGAATCACTGTTTTTCTTCTCTTTTGTTTTGAGGATAGATCGCTATCTCTTTGAAACAATTGAAAGTAAAACGAAGCTTTAAGCAAAAGATAATTATTTTACGTAATGAAGCATAAAGGTTTACATAACGATACGTTCGCTAGTAGACCATTTTAGAACTGGCCCCTTTTATTTTTCCGAACAAAAATTATATTTCGGTACGTCATTCTCACGAGAGTACCGCCCCGAAACACGAAACTTCCGCGATGCGACGAGCGAGCTTCCTGTCTATTACTGCAGTAGGAAATGTGCCAGGTGGAATTAAATTATTTTTTCGGAATTCTCTTTTTTTTTCATGCTGTTGAAAAATTTTACGTGTACGCAATTCAATGCTATTTGCACGTGAAAGTATACACAAAGTCGCTAAAAGCTCCATCAGAGTCCTATTGTTTTGTCTCTCGCGCTATTCCGCCACAAAAGAATTTTATCCGCTTTTACCGCAGCACATAACATACGGAATGTTTTTCTCATGTCGCGTTCTCTGACATAAAGATGAGGATTAACATCTGGGAATAAAGAATGAAAATGCAAATTACGGAAATTTATGTAATCTTCGATCACTATTACAAAGATCGCGGTATCCCGACAGGAGTAGTTTATTAAACAGATAAAAACAAGTTGCGTATGGATTCCGTGTTGGCCATGAAAATGTCCCGAAATAAAAAATTCCACGTAACGACATGAATTAAAATGCACGGGCAATTTAATGCCCCCCGATGTAGCCAACGGAGCGTAATATATTGTACGCGAGTAGAAACACGCCGGATAGAGACAGGCGCTAAGTAGACTAACAATATAAACAGGACTGCCTAATAATATTACTCCGTCGGCGGCACGCGTATCATCGTAGGGCAATAAAGGCTAAAGCACATAATAATACAGGCCCCTTTAATCGCGTATCGACCGTTCAATTACGCATTAGATTACCAAGATCACTTTGTCTTTCGTACAGTCTTCCACGGCCACGACGCCACCGGTACATGAAGCGGTAATTGCGGGCAAGGTACGCACGCACGCACGCACGCATCGATGTGCGCCACGCATTTATTGCTGGGCCGTAGACCCACACACGTAGTGGGCACAACCGGCACACGCTCTCTCTCCCCCGGCATATGGCGCGCACGGTCCCCCTTTTTCAGTTCCGGGGGAGAAGAAACGAGGGGCTGCGGCGCGTGCTGAAAATCCCCACCATTTCTTTCTTTCTCTCTCTCTCTCTCGCTCTTCCTCTCCTCCCTTTCACGGTTTCGCTCCCGCTCGCGCACGCGGGCGCCCTTCTCCCTTCTCGCCATCAACCCCGCGAGATCCAACTCGGCGCGGCACGGCAAAATGCTGAAACGTAACCCATCTATCGATGTCCGCGCTCATTCTCGAAGCGGACGCCATGTAGTGCATACCATGATCGGCGAACAGAGGTGCTGGTGATACGCGATCGTGAACATCTCTCCCTCCCAGTGACGGCAAACGCCGAGCTTCCAGCTAGTCCCAGGGGTCTTTGTACTCTTAAGGGCACCCTCGATATTTCCGTTCCTGTTACCGCGCCGTTTCGTAAATCAACGTGGACCAGATTGTCCGCCACATGATCCACGCGGATCGTCTGGAAGTGAGGAGTGAAGAGTGCGACGAATGAGGATTTTCAATCAAACGGATTACCTGAGTGCGCGTAGATGAGCTCCAAGAGAATCTTCCTCTCGTACGTATTGGACAGCAAAAATATTTTTTTTTATAAAAAAATAATACCGTGTTCAACTGTGTGCCTCGTGTGTGTGTGTGCCGTCAACATGAAATACAAGACGGACCGATAACGGACAGTTTTACATTGATATTACTGTGCCAAAAGAATTCAAACGCGGCTTACGGGGCTGTCGCGTTCGTGCGGACGTCAAATCAGTATTAATCTCTATTATTTGAATGTCCACGATGGCTTCGATGATCTACAGCGGATGATATAGCAGACTGCTGTTAGCTAGATCAAGTTCGCGGTCGAAATCTGAATTGTAATTCAATATTTGTGTCCATCGCGAGTGCAGCATGTGCATCGATCAACGTTCTAAAGAAAGAAGAAAAGTGCGCTAATCGGTCGCATTGAAATCTAAATGCCTTCAATGTTCTTCAGTGAAATTGTTACAACGATACTGTTATTATTCATCTGTTTAAACGTTCGATGATCGAATGTGTCCTGTATGCGAGATCGAAACGATTTATGTCCGTGGCGAGCGTTGGAGAGTATTTTCATCAAGCGTCACCTTGATCTTCGGTAAGTATTCGCTTTAAAAATAAAATGTCTTTTATAGCGCGCTTAATAGCAATTGATACAACAACGGTAACAGCTTGCGCAGGTAAATTTACTTTCGAATTGAAAGTAAATTAAAATTACAGTAAAATTTTACAATTGACAGGTCCGCCGGTTTTTACTTCAGTTTCACTAAAAAAAAAAGAACCACTTTAAATCGCAATGCGATGCGACGAGTGTTCAGTCGAGAGCGAATCGTATGCACAGAATTAAATTTGTGATATTAAATGGGAAAAAACGTTCCTGTTAAAAATATACCGTTAATGTTAAAGCAGATTTGTTTTGAAAGATCTCGGTAATAGTTTCCGAGGAGTCGACGACCGTCGTGGAGAAGAATAGACGGTGACCTCATGCTTTACTTAAGCTGCGACCGGCAGCGAGACAATTAGATCTCGGTTTGGGTCATCAGCTTCATGAGTTAGTAAAGGAAGAAGCTATAAGCTCTCGTAAAAGGCTACAGCAAAAACATTCACGCATTTTTATCTCGATTCGCCCGCCCGCGGGAAGAATAAACGTTTATATAAAATGGAAAATCAAATATATATTAGTGTTTTTCGCAAATAAATATTTAATCGTTATTCACACAATTTAAAAGTTATTCAAATTGTGATTTGACATAAAACAATTACAACGTTTTATTGCGGTCACGACAGGTTTGGCCTAGATTCGAATTGATTAAATCGCCGAACGATCCACATCGATAATTGCCTTTGTCTCCGACAAGAAGACACGTTTTATTTATAAGCCCGGCAATTAGATTCGTCCTCGACGAACATTAGTGTCGCTTATCGACCGGTTGAGTCCGCTGTGTCTTTTAACGCGACTCGTTTAATCAACGTTATGGCGGAAATTACAATATTTAAAATCCAATTCGAGATCCATAAATTTTCAACCACATGAATTTTAACTTACATAGATATAAAATTTGTTATTCATTCCATTTCCGTTATATCAATTATTGCCGTCGGATTTGTTTATTATTCATTTAATTGATTATACATTTAATAATAAAGATTCTAGATAATATTCCGTCACTTGTAGGGCTAGGAACCGGAGGAAATGAGGAATGCGAAGCGAGAGAAATGTTATAATAATACAGGCGATAGCGTTTGAGTTTATTCTTTACTTTCCTCTAACTGTATGGAGTTATGCACACACTGAGGAAAATGTCCGATTAAGTTTAATCGGATAACCCAATTACATGATAACAAACGGATATATCCGATGAAAAATATGATCGGTCTTTCAATCAAATTTCATCGGCAACTGCATCGGATAAATTGCATCGGATGTATCCATAATTTAATCGGGAAACGTAATCGGAAAAATTACCCATCGAAAACACTGTTTAATTGGTTTATCCGATGGAAATTTTTCTCAGTGTATATTATCTCGAGGCACTGGCTCGGAGCGAGCCAATAAGGATGAGATTATACCCGAAGTAAATTTACGCACGCAAATTTGTCACAACCTAGCCGACCGTTAATGCGTGGCAGTGGTGGATAGACCGCGCTACATGACTCGCAATGTTAAGGCAGAATTGAGACAGATAAGCGAGCGATTCCACCGAGAAACCGTTCGCTTACACGCTTGACAAAAATTACTTGCGAATTACTCAAATTTTATGAAAGAAATAAACTTGTTTTCAGCTTGGGGCAATATCGCGGAACTTGGATAATAGTTTGCACGTTCTGAGGCCTCACGCTGATTCGTGCCACCGAAAAGCACTCGTTGAAACGAGCACAATGGCGACCATGGGGGTAACGGTGTTTTGCAACAGAGTACAGATAAACGGCAACGATCAAGAACAATTGATGTTGCTGCGAACGTTGCAAGACAACGAGAACAATATCATCGGTAATCAATCAGCGTTGATAGTTCCGAAAAACAGCGGCAGCAGTAACGCAACGAATTCGACGACAGTATTACCCCCGTACGATCCCTCCAGATTGAAGAAGCACGGCAAGAACGGACAACCGCCCCCCGTTGCTGTTGCCCGAAGAAATGCCAGGGAGAGAAATCGCGTGAAACAGGTGAACAATGGATTTGCTACATTGCGACAACACATTCCGAGCCACATTGCCGCGGGTTATGGCGACAGGGGTAAGAAGCTGTCGAAGGTGGAGACTCTCAGGATGGCCGTGGAGTACATCAGAGGCCTTCAGAGGCTCCTGGCCGAAGCCGATGGCGTTGAATACGATTCGAAGACTACCGTTGGTGCGCAATGCGCGCCTTCTCCAACCAGCAGCGTCATCTCTTCGACTCATAACGGCTCCGGCGAGAGACTCGTTCTCGAGGATGATGTACTAGCCGCGGAAGAGGACGAGAGGGGACATTTGGATGAGGAAGAAGATGAAGGTGCTGCCAAATCGAAAATTACATTATCCAGGTAAATTCTAGATAAAAATGAGACACTAGTTGAAGGATAGCAACAATTTAGACGTGCGCTTCTATTCTATTTTATAAAATGATTATGGGCAGTCACATTAATTATAACTTAATAATGTAGATAAAGTTAGGTATAAAGAGCTAAGAAAGAGAGCGTGTGCCTTTCTTTAATCATATTTGTTTTACTTCTTTTTTTCTCCCTCGCAGATTATCCCCCAATCGGACGGCCATTTCATCCCCGCGCGACTACTACGCATCCTCGGCGGGCGATGAAGAAAACTTGGAACCGCGAACTTTAACCGGCGGACAGAATTTCTCCAGGCTGTCGCCAAATTCGGTGGCCTCGCCGCCCTCGGAGTATTACGCTCAAAACGAGGAGAATCTGGAGCCGCAGATTCTGTCACCCTACAGCGGTGCCGGGGACAGCGAAGAGGGTGCGACAACTGTCTACGCGACTAGCCCGGAAACCTTCTCCGGAGCCCTCTATTACAAGCAAGAGATCACCGAGACGGGGGAATTCATGGATGTCGTCAGCTGGTGGGAACAAGAACAGGGAAGACTCGTCCATCAACAGCACACACAACGGCTGACGCACGTGTAACTATAGGTAAGTTCCGACGAGTTTAACTCGAGTTGTCTGTTCAAGCTGGGAGTCCGGCCGACGACAATGAATTATAGAAAAACTCGCGTACGCTTTTTACACGCGAAAGTGATAATTTAACAATCACGAGGGTCGTTTGAATATTATTACGTATTATTTTATCATAAGAATTGTATTGTTATTCGATGAAAAATTGTACTGGCATATTTTTCATCCTCTTGTCGATTTCGAGTGGATGAAAGAGCGTATGCCTAATAAAGACTGCTCGATTTTGACGCGACCGACGGTGTAAAAAAGACGAATGTAATAACAATAGAGTTGTTCGTTTGGGTGTCGCGGGTTACACGTTCGATGCGTTCAGGATGCGCACGTGATACCCGCGTCGCGGAAATGCCGCCAAGTGGAAACTCGTGTTCGACGCTTCGTCCCGAACACGTGTTGCGTCGCTGTCGAGCCCAAAAATAAACTTTACGCATCGAACCACTTTGCGAAGTACGTGCCGACGTGACACTTGGATGTCACGGTCTCTTCTACGGTTTTTTTTTGTCGCATCGAGAACCCTTTCCTTCACCGAATCTTTATACTGGTAAAAAAACGGGCATCTCTCTATCGAAAGGGATATCAAATTTTTATAATGCTTCAGTAATGCATAAAATTGCATTAAAATGTTGCTCCTTTTATTCAACAATCTTTCATTTATTATTTTTACAATTATCTCTACTTCACCCTTGCGAGGATAATAAAATAGAACTTTCTATCAAAATGTCATATCCGGAATTAGTCATAAAAAGTGATTAAGGATGTTCGAGCGTTTGACAAAATAAAAGATGAATGTATAATATAATATATACATGATACAAAGAATAATCAAACTAAGAATGTATAACAGAAATGTGAATAATTTTTACCGTATCGTTTACTAAATATTTAATTATAAAGCAGTAGTATAAAAGCGCGTATAATCTTATAATTTTTTAAATTTTTCCTTATTTAACATATTTGTATGTAAGACAAAAATAAAAAACCTGTCGCAATAGTAAAATAAATATTAAAAAATATTTTAGTGAAAACTTACATAGAAACCGTCGCGTTCAAGAGAAATTTAACTTTTCCATGAAATAATTCGTGAAATCGATCAGAAAACGATGACACATAAGTGGATGTTTATTGATTAAAAATTAGCGCTTGAACCTCCTTAAATACCCAGACTTTGCTTTAATAAGAAAGAAAGGGTGAAGTGCGAATTTACTTTTACAATTTTGGCCTCATTGCTCTGTCATATTTGTGCATCGAAGGTCAGAGCAGCCTTAATGGCCGACAGTATGCAATTTGGGGGACACATGGCTGGTGGTGGATCATGGTGTGTCATCTTAAAAGCGTGCAACCACGAACGGAAGTGGCGGAACGTCTAGCCATATGTTGGATATTCTTCTTGAAATATCTCGCAACCAGACCTTCCTCAATCTTCTTAGTTTCCAATTGCTGGTCATCAATTCCCATGGATATCTGACATATGTTCGCTTCACAGCCGAGCTACTTCTTTCAAATCCACTTATGTTGGAAGAACTTTAAATCGATATCCGTACGAGCACGTCAACTTATAAATACCGTCCAGTATTTGTGTAAAATATCTGTGTGAAGGTTTAAAGACCAGAATGAACGTGTCACAAAGAGATTAACTCTCATCGATTTCGTTCATTTACTTGTATTAGGAAATTTTTTTTATTAAGTACGTAACGTAGACAAATGTAAATAGTGAAGAAAATCGAATTAGAGTCATGTTACTTTTTTATTATTTACTTTGTTATTCATAGATACTTTTACAAGACTTGTATAGTATTTTCAATGTCTGCGTGTAAATTTTTAATAAGTATATTTCTTCAGGGAAGAAAGGTAACCGTTGTGTAGCGATAACCGATGCATTCGATTCTGGGCGGGGGGAAAAAATCAGATGGCGAGCGGTGCCAGTCGCCGTGCCACAAATAGAAGTCGCGGTTTCCTTAGAAACGTGCGTAGCGCCCACGTGCCGTGCATGCAGGCCGACATATAGAGTGCTGGATGCACATACGTTGATCGACTAAAGGGCGACGGAAGCTAACTTGCCGCTGCCACTGACATATACACGGCATAACGATTTAAAAAAGTCGAGTCATAGACTGTGAAATGTCTCGCACGGAATTGTTGCAAAGTCCACCAACATTGTTGCATGAGAAAATTTATTTATTTATTTTTTTGAGACATTTTTCTATGAAAATATAAAAAGTTATACGTTACATAATAAGCCTCTCGAAATTGTAGCAATTTTAATTTATGAACATTTATCTTTCTCCAGAGAATTACCTTTCAAATTTTATCATAAAGTCTTATCTATCTTTCTCTCAACAAACGCGTCGCGCCTTTTTCATAGACATTTTTCCTCGACGGAAATCCAGTTATCATAAAAACGTTTCGCGATACGACAAGAAGCGCGGAGAGCAAGGAGCTTCATATTTTAGGCTCGCGAGGGCCTGGAATGAGTGGCCAGCAAGTAATTCTCGACAATTATAAAGTGAGGTCATCTACGAAGTTTACGAGATGCGTCGTCGCGTCAAATTAATTTAATAAATTCCTTACTCGGCTCCCGGTCACGTATATTGGTGTGTGCGACCGCTGTGCCGGTTTTCTTCCTCGCATTTAATTCGCCTCTCGCGCGGGGTACAAGCACCGCAAGGGGCATACGAGGCCCCCAAGTCTTAACACCGCGTTAATCCGCGAGGGATCCGTGGGGTTCCCGGATCCCTCTGTCCCTTCTCACCCGAGCCGCGGTCAGTCCAATTAAATCTCTTTTTTGGAATAACGCATACCGATAACGGAAATGCGTTACGTGCGAATTAAGCGCGAGATAGTCGACGGTAATCAAGATAATTAATCGAAGTAACGTAACGTTCGCGTCAGACACGGGAGTATCTTGGCAGGGGTGGCCAAAAAGAGCTGTAGGCTAAACATTGCAGTAAATAATGACCGCGTCTCGCTTTAGTAATTGAAACGTATTATAGAGATTAAATATGGTATAAGATACGATCGTGCTGCGACCATGTAATCGTGAGAATTTTTCTTGAGGGGCCTTTGACTGTAAAAAAAAGTCCATAAGTTTGCTGGACAAAAAGAAAGAAAATAGAAGAATAAGCGTAGCTTCGTTTGCACTTATCAAGAAATTTCGAATATCTCCAATTTTCATGTATAACAAGTTTTCAATATTTTAAATTAAGAAAGGAATGATTCGTTTCTGCAGATAATTTGTCTCTTAATTTTTAAATAACAATGTAATATTTTCATTTAGCAGAAATTGATTATGTTTGTTAAAAATATCAAGAAGAATATTCTCTCTCTTTTGCCTAAAAAAGAATTGGGTTTTAAAAATAACATATAACTCGAATAATGGAGACTATTAACAAGCTAGCACAAACTGCGTTGTGCAATAAGCACGCGACGAAGTTTATGGCAATCGCCACAGTCGTTTTCCGCCTTCGACTTACTCTGCAGACATTTAGTACGTAGAACAAAGAATTCAACGAACAATATGCTGGTGGAACCCGCATGTTGGTTATCTTATCAATAAACATTACCAGCATGGCAGCCGACAGCTTTAAACTGACGGTTTGCCATGGAGCCGATTTCAGTACTGCTAAATTCTCGATTTTTTTAAATCGATTTTTCTGGTAATTGCGAAAAACCATTACAGGCATTTGTTTCTATTTAGATAATTATATAGTTGGATTATAATTTTATTGTGATTTGATAATTTTTTAATATTCTAAAAATTTTTTTATTTTTATTTTTTTTATTTTATATGCAGCGATAGTTTAATTAAATTCATTTATGTTGGGTTCTCGCGATGTTGCCAAGAAAATTCAATTACATATTTTTAAGTATGTTAGTTAATTCTATACATTTCTTAGCAGCTGAAATTCAGTTGCAGTTTAAAAAACGCCCGCTCTCTTTTCATTTATCGAGACGCAACATCGACGTGCGCTAGATAAGAAGAAATAAGTTTGAGGATTTCCAGAATCCGGGAGACAACGAATACTTCGCCAAAGAACACTTCACGGCGGTTCTTAGGATCTTGAAAGTACAGGCGTGGCAGATCCTCTAATTTATCTCTTACCACTTATGTATACCACACACGCTTTCTTCAAGCTTTTTTTATCGGCGCCTTTGCAGTTATAGAGAAAAAAATATTTCTTCACCGAACTCTTTATGAGACACCGTCGTCTACAAAACGTTGTTGTACAGAATTTCTTAAAATTTATATAGGTAAATTTTCGTTTTTAATATTAAATTTTCATGAATAAAATTTGCTCGACAACTTAATTAACACTAAGTACTTTTCCTTAATATATTTCTTAAAAGATATCAATTAAAGAGTCAACGATTGAATATTTATACATATATTCAATAATTTAATGATCACAATTTTATATAATTCCATATGAATTGTATTTATATCATTTTTTATATAATATTTAAAACTTTAATTCGGGGATTTTGAATTGTGTTGCATCTATTATTAATTACATATTGCCATTACAGATCACCTTCTTTACCGTGCCTTTTTAATTCAATGTGTATCATCAAAAGCAGAAATCTCTGACATTTTTTTCTCGTATCAAACCTATCCTCGTGTCCCTTCTTTGCCCTCCGATGTTTTCTCCAAAAGAAAAATGTGAATTTGCCACATTATTTGTACATGCGTTTTTTTCCCACGATATATCCGGAATCTACGGGATGTCCGCGACGTTTCGTCCGTGCGTTTCCGAATTTAATTCTTTCTCAATACAGCTAAACGAGGATCCGCGCGATCCAGTGACGGAACACAATAGCGAGACGGGACAAAAGATCTCTCGAGGATAAACGGGATCTTTTTTCCTCCCCTTACTCCCAGGATCACAAAATTGTGATGGAAACTGTTTTCTTTCGATATAAATCTTCGACAAGGGTTCACGAACATTTCGAATAGTAACGGTTGTCGCAAGGAAGACACTTTTCCTACTTGCAGAATTTTACAATAAAAGGAGAAGAACTCAGGATTTCTATCGTAAAAATACAGACTAATCCATGTGAAGAAAACAAAGTACGGATTCTCAGAAAACAATTGGAACGTGGATCATTCTGTGAATGAAAAATTAATTCTACGTTAGAATTTCAACTACCAATTTAATATCTACACATTTAATGCCTGTCACACACAGAATGTTAATATTTCTTCGTGATTTGTTTCAGTTACAGGTTTCAATTAGGAAAGACCAATATTTGTAACAAAATTCCAAATCCACTATGATGTAATACCTCAGTCGAATTTCGCATGATCTCACTGGACCTGGATGAAGATCCTCTCGACAATACATCGACAGGATATTGTAGAGCACGAGCGCGTGTATTGTGATCAATAGCAAAAGTCGGAAAATCGTACTTACTGTTGCGAGTACTTTTCCGCTGAGCAGACCTTCTCATTACTGTACCTCGTCTTTCGGATTACAAACAGAAAATGTGAAGAATACATGGCTCTTTATTTAACATCTTTATTTAATAAGGAGATTTATTAAATACATTTATTAAAAACAAATTAAATCTCGATATTATACGTTACATCTTATCTCGTATTTATATGAACGATTGTTAATTGGCATTGCAGAGTACCTTAAATCCTTTTTAAATCTTGAAATTTAAATCTTGAAAATTATGCTATTTGTATACGTATTAATTACATTAATTTCACGAATTATGATATAGCTATTATTACCATTATATTGCCAACTGTATCAAGGAATCGTATTTTTTATAAGGACAATAGAGAAAATATTTTAATTCTCTTTAGCAATGACATTTTGCGCTTCCAGAAAGAAAGTATTTACTTTTTCGGCTATTTACATCACAACAAGTACAATTTATAAAGTGGTAAATTGTATATCGCCAGTAATTTAAAAACAAATCTTCATGAAATTAAGCGACCTACACTGGCTAGTGTTTTTTTATTTAAAAACGAATATTACAACGTTTCGGCCCTGGATTTGGGCCCTTTTCAAGTGTTCTGAAACGCAAATTACGTATACCAGAGCTGAAGGCCTATCATAATGCAACTCTAAATTACATACCTTAGTGAATCACTGCGTCAATTATTCAGTTGTTTGGCCAATACCATTACCATAGGCTTGTTTTCTGTTCCTACACTAGTGAACTAGTGCAATAAATTGGAGTAAGACAAGCATATTTTTTCTCATTCTAGCTTACTGCACTAGTTCACCAGTGCAGGAACAGAAAACAAACCCCATGTGTCAAACTGAGTAAAGACAGGAGAGAGTTAATTAACATGAAACGAGCCACCAACGTGTTCGATAAAACTTACATATTGGTCAATTTGATTTCCTGTTCTTTGTTAGAAGAAAGGTGAGTGCATTTAAAATGCCACATGTTGACACGATCATGTCCGGATCTGAACTGATTAGACATTGTCTGTATCTGGTTTATTTTGACGAGAGGTCGCGTTAAATTAATAAATAAATTATCGAACATGTTAATTGACTCTCTCCTGTCTTTACTCAGTTTGACACATGGTAATGGTATTGGCCAAACAACTGAATAATTGACGCAGTGATTCACTAAGGTATGTAATTTAGAGTTACATTATGATAGGCCTTCAGCTCTGGTATACAAATTTGTAATTTGCGTTTCAGAACACTTGAAAAGGGCCCAAATCCAGGGCCGAAACGTTGTAATATTTGTTTTTAAATAAAAAACACTAGCCAGTGTAGGTCGCTCATGAAGATAAGTACAATTTAGTTATATTATGGACATGATTATGTTTATACGAAACTGTAAAATTAATATAAACCTGTACAACATCTGTAACGTGTTATAGAGTATAAATAATGATTCTTGTTATATTAATATCATCGATCATTGACACGCTATTTTATTAAATTTTTACAGTACGTTTGTGTAAGATTTGAAAGATAAAATTGTAACATTCTTATATACAGGTATAAAGTTTTCTCCTGGAACTTATACGTTTTGAAATATTTGGGTGGATTGATTAAAATGAGCCACCCTGTACAAACCAGAGTCTATATACATTGTATAATCTACTACGTAAGTAATGCTCCTCTATCATTTCCTCGTTTTTAAATTTGTTATATATTGTATACACCTTACAGAAACGATCTGTGAATCAACTTTAATGCTGCGAGACACAATCAAAACGTTTGTACATAAAAGTGCCTTAATTAATTATAGGCGATAAATTATATTAATATTTATCATTTTTATACTCGAAATTTTTGACGAAATACTTAAAGTACTAATGTATAAGACTTACCATTATATTTCTATGCACAATGCCGTGCTATTTGTTTGCGATATTATGATCTATTCAAGAGTGATAGTAATCATTTGTCACTATATTATATACATATGATGTTGCAGCAACCAAATGAGCATTAAATATTTTTAACGGATTTTTAAGGGACCGAGCTATAATAGCGTGATAACAAATGTGTATGTTTACGTGCCTTAACTATTCAAAATAAAGCAATGCGATCGGATCTTTAATTATCGCGTTGTAATTAATCATCATTTATCAAAAAATACAATTCCTCTACCACAAGCACAGAAATATTATCCAATATTATTTATGAAAAGCATAATTCTCTTAACGCAAACGATAAAATTGTTGTGAATGTATTAATATATTAATTTATGCGATTATATTTATTAATATATACTTCATAATATATACAATACAGTGTTATTATACACATTTCTCCAAGAGCGATGTCAATTATAATAAATATTATATACTTCTTTGTTGTACATTTGATATATTATACTTATGAATACGTTACAATACTCGACCATTTCCTCATCTTGTGTTAAATCAAAGTATTATGAAAATATCGAAAGTATCATCCTAGGAATAGAAATTATTGTAAATTGTATACAGACGTAGACGATATTTTTATTGTCATCAGCGCTAGATTAACGTTCTTGTAAATAACAGTGCCTTAATTAAGCTTAAGATAATTATTCTACGATCTTGTACTTGATATATCTTTTTACGGAATATTTAAAATACATTTTACTAATTATACACGTTGTTTTAATTTAATAGCGATAATCTACACTGCAATAATCACTTATAAAATAACTTGTACATCAAGTGTATTAAAGGATTCATAAAGATTTTTAATATTAACGGAAGAAAATGCATTGCGAATTAAATACAATTTATAATTAAATACAATTTATCGCTCCCCCCCCCCCCCGCTCTTTCCCTCTGTTTCGTTCTTCATGTATACATGTTCTTCTTTTATATTCGATTATACCAAATATCGTTTTCCAAAACAATTCAAAACTTGCATGACGAAAATACATTCGTATTCATATACCTTGCAGTATTCACAGATTTTTAATATATACTATATTGTTGAACCCCTTTTTTCTTTTACTGTCTCAATAAGAGAGCGATTTGTATTAACACAAAATTAAAAGCGAAACCAACAAAGATAAAATTACGATACACTAATAGTTTCTTTACTTTGTCATATGCCCCACAAAATATTTTCCATATATCTCATGTTTCCGATACTTCCCTTGTAATATCGGTTAAATGTCGATTTCCGACCATTTATTAAGAAGGTTGCACTTATCGCTTTGTCATGTTTGAGATAATATTTCCATACTAATAAATATGAACTTAAGCTTGACGCAATATTATCATCCGTTTTACTGTCTATTTGCGTGATATAAATGAATAAAAGCAACGCTACATTTAAATATGTTAAGGTCATTGTATAATTTATAAGTATAATTAAAGGAATATATAATTCTTCTGGACTGTTAGGTTATAAAATGTCCGTCACAAGTGCGGAAAATTTAGAGACGTATTTACCGTGGTTAGTAATGTGGTTTCTTCAAATGAAATTTATCTACTGTTAATGTGTTTTACAGTAACTTCGGTTTTTCAATTTTTTTAAATCTTTTAATGTCGACACTATAATTAATAAGTTGTAAGAAAGAAATAAGAAATAAGTAATTCCGCTACTATTACGAAAAAGTACCTTTCTTTAAAATCACAATGGACGTGGATTCAGTAACAACATCTTATTTACCGTATGCAACTTATTTTCTGCTGGCCGGCATTGTAGTATTAATTGCAATAAACTATTACATCGAAACCACTCGAGTAGTCCGTCTTATAAAGAAACTACCAGGTACATATATGTTAAAAACAAATAAAATAAGTCTAACTTCTTATTAGACGAACATTTTTTCGAGTAATCTTCGACAAAATTGATCACTATTCACTCATTATGTTATCCTACAATAAAATATTTCTTCTCTTTAGGTCCAACATCTTTACCCGTTTTTGGTCGATCATTGCAGTATCTTAATGTGTCTCCTGAAAATGCGATAAAAATAGGTTGTGAATTATATAAACAGTATGGAACTGTAATGGGCGGATATGCTGGTACAGTAGCAGTAGTTGCACTGATAGATCCAGTAGATATTGAAGTAATCTTGAGCAGTCCTGAGCATATTGACAAATCCCACGAGTATAGGTAAGAACTCAAATTAACAGCTAATAAAATTCATAAGGTTCTACTATGGCAAACACAAATTTGAAAGAATAAGGACTAAAGACAGGATGTTATTGTCTAAATATTACTTGTTTTAACTTTATTGCGATAAATATTACCTCCACCAGGGTTTGAACCTGGACTTCCTTCTCACTTAGGCGGGCGTTTCAACCAATTCGACCACCGAAAGCATGTGAGAACATTACCGCAATACACAGTCTAGTGTTGATTCCCGAATGCCACATGTCGTGATAGTATTGGAAACAAAACCTGTGCGCCAACTTAAATCGTCAGTCTTAAAACACAGTACAATCATCCTCACAATGTATCCCCATACAAGTAATATATAGACCCTAACATCCTGTTCCGGATCTTTGGTTCTTACACCTTTGAAAATTATTAAACTTTGTATTGTGTGTGCCTTGTCTCTCTAGTACAACTAAAGGTATTATTTTTCTGTCACTTATTATACATAAAAGTTATTAATTGCTAATATTGCGAAAAATAATCCTTTTTATATCTCCATCGTAGACTGTTCAAACCGTGGCTTGGAGACGGTTTGCTGATCACAAAAGGTGACAAATGGCGCAGACATAGAAAGATGATTGCGCCCACGTTTCATATGAGTATCTTGAAGACTTTTGTACCTTTATTTTACGAGAACAGCATAGATCTCGTGGATCGACTTCGGGATAAAGTTGGAGAGGAATTCGATTGCCACGATTATCTATCAGCCGTAACAGTCGATATTTTAACAGAAACAGCGATGGGAGTTAAAAGGAAGAAAACCGGATTTGATTATGCTATGGCCGTGATGAAGTATATATTATCTCTCCCTTAAAATTATACCTAGTATTTTCTTATTAAATATTTATCATGTAACAGTGCACTCCTTATAATTTGAATATTGCAGAATGAGCGACATCTTACACCGAAGACATCTTAGTCCATATTTACGATTTGATCAAATATTCCAATTTTCGAAGTTTGCCAAGATTCAAGAGAAATTGCTTAAGACTATTCATACACTAACAGAACGAGTAATCACAGAGAAATCAAACGAATTCGAAGAAAAACTTACGAAAAGCCACCAAATGAAAGACGTGCAAAACGATGAACAAAGGAAACATTTGAATGCGACCGAAAATACGAACGATTCTAAAAATAGTACCACTAACCAAATGCATTACGTAAGAGATGATCTCGATGAAAATGATGAGAACGACGTAGGCGAGAAAAAGCGACTTGCTCTCCTAGAAATGATGCTTGATTTGAAAAAGAAGGGGCAATGGACTGACGAGGAGATCTGGGAAGAAGTGAACACCATCATGTTTGAGGTATGAAAATTTCTTTTCAAAATCAAATCTTATCGCGAATGGTTGAATGTACATGAATTGTTATAATTTAAACATTTCGTAGCTTTTTCTTTTGCAAAATACCATATTCATCGTAAACTACATTGCTGTAATAAATTGCGTTATTATTTTATGCATCAAAAGAAATTAATTATTGGTTTATTACAGGGCCATGATACTACGGCAGCTGGCTCGAGTTTTACACTTTGTGTCCTAGGAAATCATCCAGACATTCAGGTATTGGTCATTATAGTTAATAATTAATAACACTGATAACCGCGGTTTGCATGTTGCTTTAGTTGCGCAAAACTGTTGTTTTACTAAAACGCGGTTACTTTAACTATTAATATCAGTAGATGCATATACATACATACATGTAACTACAAAATGTGCGATATCAACTTAAAAACTTGTCTTATCACAAAAAGGTAAAAAAGCGCCAGGCATAAGCGTTATCGTAACAATAACTATATGATTTAATTATTTGAAAATATATTATTAGAAAAAGAACATTTCTATTTTCTCTACAAAAGTAATGATATCAACAAATTGCACCAACAACAACAATGGATATTTATAGAAATCGAGATACTAATTAGAATATTTTCTTCAATGTAATGCAAATATAATGCAAATTTAAACAAATTCAATACAAATAAGTATAACTCAAATGCAAGCGAGAACGTCAAATCATACTTAGATCCGGGCAAGCTGGAGGTAGCCCAGTTATTTTTATATTTAACATGTGAATTTATATATCGTATTTTTTCTACCAAACAAATATTTTATTAAAAAATTACCTTTTCTAATTTAATTGTTGGGTATTATACATATTAATTATGACTCACGACATTATTGTTTATTAAAAGTATTGGCGCTGCTAAATCAAATGTTAATTCCCTCTTCCTGCTCCCTTACAAGAATTAAACTCTTTCTCTTCCTTTTGTGCATGCACGTGTGTGTTCAAACGCGTGTCTCTCTCGTAGACGCGCGCACGTGAGGATATACATGTGCGTGTGTATGGGTGTAGGAGATAAGGATTAGAATTAATTGTAGGTTTAGATTGTATTTCAGCGGTATTGCAGCGCCAAGTTTTTTTTAATAAACAATAATGTCGTGAGTAACCAATATGTATAATACCGAACAATTTAATTAGAGAAGATGATTTTTTCATAAAATATTTATTTGTATTGAATTTGTTTAAATTTGCATTATATTGAATAAAATATTCTATTTTTTATCCCGATTTGTATAAATATCCATTGGTATTGGTACAATTTGTTGATATCACTACTTTTGTAGAGAAAATAGAAATGTTCTTCTTGCAACAATATATTTTCAAATAATCAAATCATACAGTTATTGTTCGTATAACGCTTATGCTTATCGCATTTTTACCTTTTCTTGAAAAGATAAGTTTTAGAAAATGGCCCTTTTTGCACATTGTGGTTAGAGTATCTCATAATCCTGACGTGCTAGGGAAAAACAAACAACGGATTCGCGTTCAGCATACAAAAAACCTTCGGGCTTGCCTAATCTGATCTTTGGGTGTAAAATTTGTCGGGCTGTGTAATTTATCCCTTTTTTCTTTCTTTTTTAATTCGATGCGATTTTCAACATGCAGGCTCGTGTGCACGAAGAAATAGACACAATTTTTGGCGATAACGACAGACCATGCACTTTCCAAGATACGTTAGAAATGAAATATCTCGAGAGAGTTATTATGGAAACTTTGAGACTTTTCCCACCGGTACCTACGATTGCTAGACAACTTAACAGGGAAGTGAAAATAGGTAAGTAATCTAATTAAATCAGATTATTGCATATCTGATTAAATGCATTATTATAACAGCAATATTAATTGCGATGTAAGTACTTTAGAAACTTTTGGAAATTAAGAGAAATATATAGAATTAATATATTTTATATTAATTATTATATATTACAGTTACAGGCGGTTATGTTCTTCCAAAGTCTTGCACGATAGTTATCCCCCAATTTGCAGTGCATCGTTTAGAAAAATATTATCCGAATCCAGAAGTATTTAATCCAGATAACTTTTTACCAGAAAAAATGCAGGAAAGACATCATTATGCGTTTATTCCTTTCAGTGCTGGGCCAAGGTAATTAATAATATTTTTCACAAATAGCTGTTTTATATTATTTAGAGATTTTTCTGAGTTACGAAACTCATTAAATTCCTAATTTTACGCTCGAGTAAACGTTTGTTCTTGAAACACTGTTATCTGCAAAAACTTATTCTCTTAAACAATATTTTTACATTCATTGATTATAACACATTTTTCAAAGATCTTGCGTGGGACGGAAATTTGCTATGCTAAAACTGAAAGTTTTGTTGTCGACGATACTGAGGAATTATCGTATTACTTCTGATACGCCAGACCATGCTTTCCATCTGAAAGGTGACATTATTCTGAAAAGACATGATGGATTTATGATCAAAGTTGAGCCGCGCAAACCAACTCCTTCTAAATAGAAATAGCCGGAAGTTAGATTTCTATGTGTCGCAACAAAAATTTATCACTATTTCGTGTATTTGTTAGAAAATTGTTTGTAGCCTGCAAAACTTATAGCAGCAACATTCTAGTAATACCTTCTGGAAGGTTTAGGTTTCATGACTAAACATTCACGTTGGCTAAAAATGAATTTCAATATCATAACTCGAATAAACTTTGTAAGGAATATAACTGTTTATGTACCACAATCCAACTTTATAAAGTATAGTTAAAGGATGGGCGTCATAGAAAGACTTTCTTCCCAACATTCACTAACAGTTCAGATAGAAATTCTGTTTCCGTTATTTAAATTGATTAAATACAAAACATATGCGATGTCGCAGTATTGGTAATTTATTTATATATCTCAAAACAATACGAAAGGAGGTGCACAGGGCTGTGAGAGTCAGAACGCGATTGTTGGTGCGTAAAGTCAAAAGGACTATCTTTAATAAACCATAAAAAAAGATAATTGATATATGTACGTTTCGACTCTTTTTGAGTCATCCTCAGCAACTTCGAACCGATGAAATAAGATGTCTCATCTCATGCTCCACGTGGGCTCTAGGATATCCTGGATATCCACATATCTTGGAATTGCAGGTTACATTCGTCATCCTGACGTATAATAAGGTTACGAACCTGTTCTAATAGATCCCTGAGGCTCTCATTAGAAAGAGAACAGCGAGAAGATGTCTTCCTTGACCGCCAAATCGACGTTGACGATGCGGACCTTTCCCTGCGCGTCACGAAATATTTAAATTACATTTTGCTAATTATACACGTTGTTTTAATTTAACAACAAAAATCTATATACTGTATCCACCAATAAGAATTACTTATAAAGTAAAAGTCATGTGTATTAAAAGATTAATAAAAAATTTTTATACACAGAAAGTGCATTGCGAATTAAATACAATTTATAATATCTCAATTATTGAGTACAATTTATAATATCGCTCTCTCTTGTTCTTCAGTCGCACGGTTGTACCAACTATCTTTTCCAAATAATTTGAAACTTGCACAAAGAAAACATATTCTACATATTCATGTATATTGCAAGTCAAAAATTCTTAATTTATTTCATACTTTGTTGATGTTTTACTGTTTTAATAACATATTAGTAAACATTTTGTTTTATTATACAAGAGAACAATTTGTATTAAGTAACTTAAAATTAAAAGAGAAATCAACAATGATTATGATACACCAATAGTTTCGTTACTTCGTCATATGCCAAAACAATGTTTCTATATTTATCGTGCTTTCTTCCCAGTTTCGACATCGTTCGACGACGAGTTATTTCTCGCTGGGTTTGTGGTATTGCATGTTAATTTCCGATCTTTTATTAAAACGGTTGTTCACTTACCGCTTTGTCATGTTTAAGGCAACATTTTCATATTGATTGACATTAACTTGAGCTTGAGTTCATGACGCAATTTTCTCATCCGGTCTACGGATTATTGATGTGAGGCAAGTGAATAAGCAATGCGATATTGTGGTGAGGTCATTGTATAATTTATAGGTGCAATTCAAAAGCATAGATACCTACCTCCAGATCATTAGCTTATAAAATATCTGTCACTACTGCGAGCGACTTAGAAACGTATGTTACGTGGTTCCGTCGTTCCTTTAAGTGGCAAATAAAATTTTTCTCTTACTGTACTATTACAGTAACGTTGGTTTCTTGAATCTTGCATCTGTCAGTGTTCACACTATTAACAATTAGTAAATTGCAAGGAAGAAGTGAGAAATAACTATTTCTGTCGCTTTCATGACAAAGTACTTTTCTCTAAAATCATAATGGACACGGATTCAATAACGACATCCTATTTACCATTTGTAACTTATTCTCTGCTGGCACTCGTTGCGGTATTAATTGCAACATATTATTACATCGAAAACACTCGAGCAGTTTATCTTATAAAGAAACTACCAGGTACGTACATATTAAAAAATAAGTTCAACTTCTCACTTGACTAGTATATTTTTAGGTAGTAGCAATAATCTGCATAAAAATTGATCATTATGCACTCATTAGATTATCCTATAACAAATTATTTATTTTTTCAGGTCCACAAACCTTACCTATTATAGGTCATGGATTATACATTATGCGACTGTCTCCTGAAAATGTAATAGAAATGGGTCTTAAATTACATAAAGAGTATGGATATCAATCTGTAATGGGCTTATGTGTTGGTAGTGTAACTTTAGCTTTCGTGACAGATCCATGTGATATTGAAGTAATCTTGAACAGTTCTGATCATATTGATAAAGCCCACGAGTATAGGTAAGAAGCCAAATTAATAATTAATTTGAATAATGCTTTTGTAAGCGATACTTTAAACATTAGAACATGTTTACTGTGGTAGATATTGGAATAACATAATTGTCTGTAACTGCAAATACAACATTTAAATAAAAAGTATTTTCTTAATGTATAAAAGATCTAAAGTACGTATTTATATCGCGACTATTTTAGTAAAATTATTATTATAAATAATAAATCTATATTGTGTATTTTGTTTCTATATTATAACAAACGGTATTATTCTGAATGTTCTACTATTTTTATATAAGATATTACTAACATTGCGAAACATAATCCTCTTTATATCTCCATCGTAGGATGTTCAAACCGTGGCTTGGAGACGGTTTGCTGATCACAAAAGGTGACAAATGGCGAAGACATAGAAAGATGATTGCGCCCACGTTTCATATGAGTATCTTGAAGACTTTTGTACCTTTATTTTACGAGAACAGCATAGATCTCGTGAATCGACTTCGGGATAAAGTTGGAGAGGAATTCGATTGTCACGATTATCTATCAGCCGTAACAGTCGATATTTTAACAGAAACAGCGATGGGAGTTAAAAGGAAGAAAACCGGATTTGATTATGCTATGGCCGTGATGAAGTATATATTATCTCTCCCTTAAAATTATACCTAGTTTTTTCTTATTAAATAGTTATCATGTAACAGTGCACTCCTTATAATTTGAATATTGCAGAATGAGCGACATCTTACACCGAAGACATATTAGTCCATATTTACGATTTGATAAAGTATTCCAATTTTCGAAGTTTGCCAAGATTCAAGAGAAATTGCTTAAGACTATTCATTCATTAACAGAACAAGTAATCAAAGAGAAATCAAACGAATTCGAAGAAAAACTTACGAAAAGCCACCAAATGAAAGACGTGCAAAACGATGAACAAAGGAAACATTTGAATGCGACCGAAAATACGAACGATTCTAAAAATAGTACCACTAACCAAATGCATTACGTAAGAGATGATCTCGATGAAAATGATGAGAACGACATAGGCGAGAAAAAGCGACTTGCTCTCCTAGACATGATGCTTGATTTGAAAAAGAAGGGGCAATGGACTGACGAGGAGATCTGGGAAGAAGTGAACACCATCATGTTTGAGGTATGAAAATTTCTTTTCAAAATCAAATCTTATCACGAATGGTTGAATGTACATGAATTGTTATAATTTAAACATTTCGTAGCTTTTTCTTCTACAAAATACTATATTCATCGCAAACTACATTGCTGTAATAAATTGCGTTATTATTTTATGCATCAAAAGAAATTAATTATTGGTTTATTACAGGGCCATGATACGACGGCAGCTGGCTCGAGTTTTGCACTTTGTGTTTTAGGAAGTCATCCAGATGTTCAGGTACATTTGTTATTATTATTTTCAATGATTATTAACACCGATGGCGATGGTTTGCATGTTGCTTTAGTGCCGCAAACCTGTTACATACTGTTTTATTAAAACACTATTACTTTAAAGTAGTTAAGAAAGCGATCAAATCTCTTCTATCTTTGGCCTTTTTGACGCCGTAGAATGCCATTGTTGTTCCCGGGAGAAATTTGTGGGGAAATTCAAGGTAGTCGTTTAACGTCTTCTCATCCCATATAATAGCTTTTTCCTTCATAGTTTCCGTGAAGTTAAATCCTGGTATAGCTACAAAACATTAATTAGTTATAACGGGTTATACTACCATTTAATATCATCATCTTTACGCATAAATATTAATAAACAACTATTACAATGTTCTTTCTTGAATTTATTTTTGATTAAATTATTTTCTTAACCAAGATATTAGCCCATATTCTCAACTCACTTTTATCGATAAAAGTTCTTTTAATCATACAGTTTTGAAAGCTTTTTTACCAATAAAAGTGATTTAAGAATACGGATTTTTGTATACAAGACATTCGGGTATTTAATACACCTACTTCCGCAAGTTTTGCCCATAATGCCATGCAGGTTAGGACCTATCTTATGTTTCCCATCCTTTTCTGTGGTGTGACATGAAACGCACAACTTCATAAATAATTTCTTACCATTGGTCACATCACCCATTTTAACAGCTAATTCAAATATCTCTCACTAGTTCAATTTATATTTAAATTATATTTATATATATTGAAACTAGAATAAAGTAATTCAACATTGAATTTTACGAGCTTCTATCTGTATCATTTCTCAAAAAGTCGATATATTGGCCGATTTCGATATAATTGTAATAATATTTTTTTTTGTCAATTCCATGTGATTTTCATCATGCAGGCTCGCGTGCACGAAGAAGTAGACACAATTTTTGGCGATAGCGACAGACCGTGCACTTTCCAAGATACTTTAGAAATGAAATATCTCGAGAGAGTTATTCTGGAAACTTTGAGACTTTTCCCACCGGTACCTGCAATTGCCAGACAACTTAACGAGGAAGTGAAATTAGGTAAGTTATTTAATTAATTGCATTATTATAACAATAATGTTAGTCTCGATATAAGTAGGTACTTAAGAAACTTTTTTTTAATAAATGAAGAGAAATATACAATTAATATGTTTTAAATTAATTTTATGTTACAGTCACAGGCGATTATGTTCTTCCAAAGTCTACCACGATAGTTATCCCCCAATTTGCAGTGCATCGTTTAGAAAAATATTATCCGAATCCAAACGTTTTTAATCCAGACAACTTTTTACCGGAAAATATGCAGAAGAGACCTTATTATGCGTACATTCCTTTCAGTGCTGGGCCAAGGTAATTAATAATACTTTTTATCAATAACTTTATAGTATTTAGAGACTTTTCTGAGTTACGAAATTCATTACATCTATAATTACGTTTGTTCTTGAAATACTGATATCTGCAAAAACACTTTCTCACAAACAATATTTTTACATTCGTTAATCATAACACATTTTTCAAAGATCCTGCGTGGGACGGAAATTTGCTATGCTAAAACTGAAGGTTTTGTTGTCGACGATACTGAGGAATTATCGTATTATTTCCGATAAGCCAGACCATGCTTTCCACCTAAAAGCTGACATTATTCTGAAAAGACATGATGGATTTATGATCAGAGTTGAGCCGCGCAAACCAACTCCTTCTAAATAGAAATAGCCGGAAGTTAATAATGCTACAAGCAAAAACATCTTACTAAGGCAGGTAGATTTCTGTGTGTCGTAACAAAAATTTATCACTATTTCGTTATTTTGTTTGTTTTTATTATGTATGTATTTATTAATATTTGTTAGAAAATTGTTCGTAGCCTGCAAAACTTATAGCAGCAATATTCTAGTAATACTTTCTGGAAGGTTTCATGACTAAATATTCACGTTGGCTAAAAATAAATTTCGATATCATAACTATTGTAGAATAAACTTTGTAAGGAATATAACTGTTTATGTACCACAATCAAACAAGTATACTTTATAAAGTATACTTAAAGGATGGGCTTCGTAGAAAGACTTTCTTCCCAACATTTACTAACATTTCAGATATAAATTCTGTTTCTGTTATTTAAATTGATTAAATACAAAACATATGCAATGTCGCAGTATTGGCAATTTATTTATACAGGGTGTCCTAAAACCACCGGAGGTCCTCTTAATGACAGATTCCTTAGAACATTTCCAGACGAAAATCCTAATACAAAAGTGTCGAGGCTATAATAGTTTTTAAATTAGAAGCGATTATTTTTCACAAATGATAGGGCTGAAATTTCGCGCGCTCAGGAATGGCGAAATGACAAGTGATATAAGTGCTCCTATGAATATCGTTCTTTTTATATCACTTGTCATTTCGCCGTTCCTGAGCGCGCGAAATTTTAGCCCTATCATTTGTGGAAAATAATCGCTTCTAATTTAAAAACTATTATAGCCTCGACACTTTTGTATTAGGATTTTCGTCTGGAAATGTTCTAAGGAATCTGTCATTAAGAGGACCTCCGGTGGTTTTAGGACACCCTGTATATCTCAGTTATTTTTTCGTACCTAGAAAATTGTTGCTGCAGATGCAGGATTATTTTTTTAGTGTATATTTACGCAAAGCATAATCCAATATAATATAAATATATTGATAAATGTAACAATTTTCTTTTTATGCATAAATCTTACTTGATTAAATATACTTCGTTAATAATTTGCTATTTGCTTTTTCGATTAATACATTATTTAAAACGCAGAGCTAAATTTAATACATTATATTTATAATATTAAAATTATTCTTAAAGCATGTGTACTTTACAATTTATTCACAGATAAGACATATTTGCATTACTAATATTAAATTATTAATTTGTTTATTAATTATTAAATGTTAATGGTTATTATTGAATTAATAATTAAGATTCATTTATTCTATGTAATTCTGAGCAAATAAACTACAATAAAAATTACATCGTTGTTTTATCTTACGTATAGTCTATTTCGTAACTGCACTATTTTCGAAACTCTGTAACTTTTCTCGTGTTAGCCGATGTATAATGTCAAACTTTGATGACAAGGAGCATTTTAAATGAACTTTATGATGTGAAAAAGAGAGCACTGATATAGAAAACAATCGACAGCATAAATTTTCTCGTTGCTGAACAGGGTAAGTTAGGGTAGTACAATAATTCCATATTCCTCTTATATTACTTGTGCAATACTTTTTAGTTTCTTCACGTTTGTGTCTTATACAACAGTTAAACGTTCCGGGAAGATAATTGTTGCTTAAATAAATTATGGAATTGTGTTGCACACAATGCGACTATACGTGAAAACAATCGCACAGTTTGCGAGATCAATTTGCACTTCACGTATTTATATCTTTTGTGCCTTTAAATGAAAGAAAATCCTACGTTTCTTAAGAAATTGCGATATAAGAACGTATCTACTCTCTAAAAATCAATTAGTGAATTATCACTGGAAACAGTGAATCGCTACTGATTTGCAGTTATAAGTATACTACTGAAAATTTCAGTGGTATACTTATAACTGTAAATCAGTGGCTATTCACTGTTTCCAGTGATAATTCACTAATTTATTTTTAGAGAGTATTCTACAATTTTAAAAAATTGCAAATTGTGGTAATTCTTCAGTTTAGCTAAGCCAGCACGGAAATGAATTAAATTAGGCTCATTTGATGCGTTTTTACACGAAACGAAAGAACCTGGCCTAAAAAAGTGTCGTTCTGCCCTGCGAGGCGAGAAATTAATCATTAAAGTTGGTGACTTGACAAATATAAAATTTGTCGTACTAATGAAATGTTGTAACATGCACATGCCTCCCCCCCAGCGAAAAATGATGTTAGTGCGAACAATATTATCTACAGCCCCAGTGGTCGAGCTGGCTAAGACGCCCGTCACGGATTGAGGGAGGTCCCAGGTTCGAATCCTGGCTGGGGTAATACTTTTCGCAATAAGAATTTTAAATAAGGGGGAAGGGGGAGGGGGTTATCATATTAGATGCTAATGTATAGCATTATTAAAATAATTTATAAACGTGAATTCACTGACGATAACACTTCCACTTACGGGGATTAACCTGTGTTATAAGGCTGGTATGTAACTGGCGCACAGGATAAGTTGAAAAGAATATACGGTATATGGATTCACTCATTAATTTAATTTAACAGGCTACTTACACCTATGCCCGGTCCTAAACGGCCTCTTCATTTTCTAATTGATTTTATATCTTAAAGGACCTAAGTTAAAAATTGTAGAAAAATGACTTGTAGATCGTTTCGACATCGATCGACGAATCGTTTCTCACTGCGCCGCAGCTGTTTACTTTGAATGATATGGAACTGTTTGTGCATTAGTTAAAGCAGAGAATACCTACTTTGTATTGAAATGTTTGCGCTACTTATAGATTTTAATACATTCCGAGTCAAAAATGACTCGTCATGTCGGCATCAAAACAGTCGTATTAAGATGGTTGTACCCTGACTCCATAAGTCAAAATAAAGTTCATTTAATAAACATTACAATATACAGGGTGTCTGATGCAAAAGTAGCCAACTTGAAAATAGTGGTAGAATGGGTTAAACTAAGGAGAAATGTCATGTGCCGCGGTACAAAAGTAACAATAGTTATCGAGTAATTAATTTACACGTTTGAGCGAATGAGGATGCAGGAGACGGTAGACCGGACTCGGAAGGCATTTAAGAAAATCGATCGATGAGCGGGAGGTGGAGCGATATGGGTTTTTGTGATGTTATAATGACAAAAAATGATGAAATGCATAATAAGAAGAAAAATAAATTAATCTTTGTATTACATAGTAAAAGCATAAGTAAAATCGTGGCAACGTCGCCTTTCAGTTAGAGTGAGATTTTTTTAAATATTAACTTTAAATATTAACTTATGCCTAGTTAGTAACCAACAAATTATTTTTTAACTAGTATAGTGCATATCAGATGTATTTTTCAAAGGTTTCACGTAAAAGATACAACAAGTTTTTTAAAATATATTCCAAAATAGGTTCGCTTACACTAATACATTTCATATCAGTAGCATATATCTTCAATAATTTTCTTTTAAAAAATGTTATAAACTGTTTGATATTTGAATCTTTCGCGTTGAATACGAATATTAGATTTGACTTCCAGATTGCAACCGCGTAGGCCATTTTATTCCGACGTGAACAGTCCTCTATCAGAGAAAAACAACCTGATACTAAGTTATTTTTTGACAGGTATCCCCTTACCTTGTAAATTCTTTGTGTATTTTTACATTAGAATTTAAATCTAAATTATTTAAAATTATTTGTATGTACAAAAACTTGAATAACCGTTTTAAAATACAAAATGTTCTCTATATAAGCGGCAGAAAGTTACATACATAAAAATTAATATCCTCCATGTACATCATGAATAACTGTACCAGGCGCTAGGAAATTTCAGTGAAGGAAATGTAATATTGATAAATGGATCGAGTTAAACAAGTTAGTAATTCTCGAGAAGTTCCGCATTTCTTCATTCCTACCGATAGCCGACAGATTTGGTAGTTTCTTGCGCGCGTTGCTTCCGCCATTTTCTAAAGTCCACGAAGATAAATTGCAAAGCCCAAGGTAAAAGAAATACACCATTTAACACTAATAAAGAAATTTGATATACTTTGTAGCTCCCAGTCCAATCCTTAATAATTCCTGCAACAATATGTAATTATATTATGTATCGAAGATTGTGGAAACGCTTTCTCAACTTACCTACGATGGCGCCAAAAATTATCGTGACTAAAGTGCTAATAACAGAGTTGATACCATAAGCCGAAGCAAATTTTTCTATGGTGAGATCTTCTATGATAACTAGAGACTGCGGAACCAACAGCCACGCTCTTACGGTTCCGATTAGCGCTATCGTAATTAACGCGCCATTAAGTGTACGCTCGTATAGCAGGAAGCCTATATATCGTAAATTTTATATACCATTTTAGAAAAACATTATTACAATTTCGCTATAATTTATTTATTCAATTATAGAATTGAATATACTCACCTATTCTTGCGAAACCCATGAAGATTGTGGCGGTAAAAAAGAGATACTTTGATTTTACGTTTACTATTAGTGTAAAAATTGACAGTACGATTTTCGACACCAGCTCGGCTGTTCCACTGATTGTGACGCTCAATGCGGCATAAGCTTTCGGGTATCCCGCATCGGTCATCATAAGAGGAAGAAGAGAAGAAAAAGCAAAATCGGCGGTACACACGAAAGTGACGCCGAAGCACAAGTTTATGAAACAGCAATTCTTCACAAGAGACATATCCACGAGATCTCTTAGATTGGTTTTGTACCTTTGGTATTGACAAGATAAATTAGTATAAACATACGGAATTGCATATGTGGTATCATTAAATATACATGTACTTAATTGCATTATCGAATTGTAGATTGTACATGTACACCAATTAACAGTAAGATCATCAAGTCTTGTAGTTTTAAAACGTATTAACTATTAAAGTACGTAATTCAATTACACAAATACGTAGGCTGTGAATCGTAAGTATACTTACTTTGTCGTCTTTTTTTCTTTTTCAATGTCACGCTTCTCTTCTTTCTCCGAGATTTCGTTTTGTTTTTCTTCCTTCTCTTGGATTTCCTTATCTTGTTTCTTTTCCTTCTCCTGGATTTCCTTATCATGTTTCTCTTCGATTTCTTGTGTTTCTTTATCTATCTGTCTTTCACTATTCTTCTTTTCCAAATGAAGTTGCCATATATCGTTCAGTACATAAGTCGTGCGAGTCGTCAAGTTAACTAGGCTAGAAGCCGAGATAGCTGATGTACGCCGTGATAAACTTTCCCATATAGATCCCGATTTCACTCTCCGTCCGCTCTCAATTGCCGAAACTGACGCGACTCTTTGTGCAGAAGGCTAAACAAAATCAATGTACATAAATAGAAATGGATAAATAAAATTAAATAGCAAGAAGAAATATTGTTGTCGCCCAGTAGTTAATTAACGAAAGAAAGAAAGATTATACGACTTAAACTGGCAGGTGGTTTATTCAGATTATTTAGATGTCCTACTGTGGCCCTTGCGTCGGATAGACGTGCCTTCCAACATAGTTTCTCCGACCGATGCCCACAGATGGATGTCAACGTCTTTTTAACATCATAACTATGGCCAATTAATTTACTTACTTTATTTTCTTGAAAAGGACCACAACCCGGATGGTCGAAACATCGGAATAATCTCAATAAACCACCTGTCAGTTTAAATCGTATAACTTTCTTTCGAAAATTAAGTAGCAAAATTAACATTTAACTGACAAAAAAAGGAGGTTCTTATAATTTTATCAGATCTGTTGATCTACTGTGAATTTCATGTCACCTTAAGAGCCTCAGTGAGCAACGGCATTTCTGTGCCTCTTTCTTCCTTGAGACTACGAAGACTACACCATTTAACCTTGGAAGATGAGTGGATCACGTCGATAGTTGAACGACGATTCGATAATGCCGAGTCTTGAAAAACTTTTTGTCCCTTTTCGCGCGCCCTTTCGGCACGAACTTCTTCCACACTTTTCGCGTGCCATTGCACAGGATGCATCATTGTCATTCCAACGAGACTGTTGAGGCTCAGAGCACCTACGATTGCCGCAGTACCTAACACAAATGACAAACAAAAATAAGTTGTAATATATATCTAGAATTTCGCTTTTGGGACACTTACCGCGAAAACCGTACAACGGCAGTAACTTGTCGCACAACATAGGATAAATAATTCCACCCAACGCAATAATGACTTGTGACGCATACATCACCTAAATAAGAAAGAGAAAACGTTTAAGCTAAAACTTCAGCGTTTCTAAACAGATCTAAACGTTGGCTATAAATGCTTTACTTTCGCTCTTTTCTTGACAAAGTACGAGTTGAAAACCGTATTGGTAACAGTAATGTATAATCCAAATCCAAAACCTTGAAGAAAACACATAAAAGCCATGTCGTATATATTTCTGACGAAGGCTAGGGCGATGTTAGGTACCGAGAAGAAGAGTGCACCGACGGTTCCGACCGGTCTTGTAGAATATCTCTTCAGTAATGTATTGGTGAGTAAGCCTGCAAGAAATATTTCTCTCTGTTTAATGAACAAATGGTAAAAAGAAATTGTGTTATCAATTAGACTAAAATGCTATCTAAAGGATATAATAATACAATATAATTTTCTAACAAGGGAACCGCAAGAAATGACCACTCCATCGATCTTAATAAATAAGTGGCTCCCGAAAGGTCATGTCTAAGTATGAAATATTTAAATCCTTTGCAGATGCTATTTTCTTTATCACCAAAAAGCTTGCCATATATACAACATATTTACTCGCTTGTTCGAGAATATATCATTCAATCTTGTTTTCGAACCTCGATATGTTTTAATTTTCGAAAAAACAAACTTTGGTAATTGTTCACTATAGGGGAGTCAGCTCCGATGACCTTGACCTTGACATATGTTGTCA